CCACCACCACCACCACCACCACCACCACCACCACCACCACCACCACCACCACCACCATGCGTTGAATTTGTTTTAATCGGCTCCTACGAGTTTACCGGTTACGCCAATTTGAAGCCATTTTGAGTGACTTCATGCCAAGACGCAACTTTTTTTCGTGAAATGACAGGCCGCCACGTTGCACATTAAAGGCTTCTACCCAGTCGCCTCACAAGAATTTGATAAGCGCGCGCCGACGAGAGACTGAGAAAACAAACGATTTCACCGCCACCGCAAACAACTTTGCAGCGAAGCGCTGCGCGCACAAATTGTTTACTTTAAAAATCGCGATAAAAAAAACGCACCTCTGTGACACCCCGCTGTCCTTCAAACTCTAGCACTTGGTGAGTGCGCAGCCTTAACTACGGGTTCGTGCTTATTTACGGCGTGATCCACACTCAAAATTGAACCCGAAGTTGTTTAAAACAAATCCAGAAATGAGAGCTTAACTACAGCCGAATGTGCATTGGCTTGAACAGCCTCAGAACCACTGGAACTACCCTCCTGGGGTTGGTGAGCATTGCTAGGAGATGCATGCCGCAGGGCAATTACACCAGTCTCGTGGCTTGAAAGTAAGGGGTAGTGTGAGTCGGCGCGTTCGAACGCGTTTTGTCGGCGTGGAAGAACAAACGGTCCGCCCTCCCCTCAACAGACTCAACTGCACATCACACACCCGCTCCCACCCGTCCCCCCCCCCCAGTGCGTCAGCAGGAGTCTGAGTCGTGCACACGATGGCCCAAGGCAACGACCGCCGTGTTCAGTTGGTGGAAGACATGAAAATCCGGTCATTCGTTTCCTCGTCTAACTGCACGGAAGCACTGGACGGCGTCAGGGCAGATGCCTCCGTCACCGACAATTCCATTTTCTACGCGTTGCGATGTCTAAACAATCCGTGCATGGGGTTTTTCTTAATGATTTCGGGGTAAAATTCATTTATGGTGAAGACGAATAGTCACATTGATTTTATTAAACGACTAGAGATTGTTAAGTGTTTCATACACACGACTGAGTACCACTCAACCTGTCCTGACATCATTACGAGGCTCGACATTTATGTCCCACTTGAGTTGATATCGATTTTACTCAAATCAACCAATCAGAATTTCGAATTTGTATCTCGGATAGATCGAAGTCGTCTAGTTGTCAAAACAAAGCATAATCGGTGATGGAATGTGCACAGTGTGCGCTATAATTAATCGAAACCGATGATGGCGTCAGCACAAACTACATCAAGGTGACTGAATCACATTAAAATCAACTGATGCAACTCCGAATTGGCGTCTTTTGAGGTGTTTCCACACGACCAAGCAAGCAATTCAGATTCTAGATTGGGAGGTGATTAAAACAAACGACTAGAGTTTGGCCAGTCGGGGTTGATGCAGTCTATGTAAGGCCTCCATGTATACGATTGGCAACTCCTGGTGAATTATTGGAGATTGGTCAGAAAATGATGCTAGATTGGCTACATAAATGATCTTAACATCGAGCCATCAGATTTTGATTGGTTTCGACTATTGGAAACGATTTAGAACGGCGAACTTTTCTTCAGAAACCTCATGTGGTTCATTTTCTGCAAGATGACTTCAATGAGCGCGGAATCGTGGCGGTGTCAAACAAGTTTGGTGATAGTTAATTGAATAGAAAAAGCGAGTTTCGTTTTAAATCTCCACCCTCCCAGTATTGCGACATTTGAGATCTACAATCGTGAGTGGATTGTTTAAGTCCCGCCATAATTCTCTTCGTTGTTTTAAACAAGCGGGAGTTTAACCTGCGTAATATCACCCAATCTCTTAACAACAACAAAAATGGTGATTTTAAGGGAGAACTTTTGAGCGTGTTTGTCTGGGTTTATTGACGTCCACACGCCAACTTCTCTGGTGGGGAGACTGTCGAGTAACGGTGCTCCACGAATGAGGTTAAACTTTCCGAGTTGAATGGCTCTGAGAGTAGGCGGTGATTGATCAGGTGTTGTCAAGGCCGAACATCAGAAAGAATCTTGTGATCTTCGGAAACCAGAGCACCATCCCCACGTCCAGGATCAGGGTCCCCCGAAGCTATTTCAACACCCTGAACTTCTCTCCTTGTGTGTTGTTTTAACTTATGCCACTGCGTGCGCCGTCTCCAGGGGCAACGCCTCCCAACAAAGACGCGTCGTCATGACGATCTGGTGGACAGTGAGGGGAATGTACTTCCGCATCGTCAGGGTGGGGAAAACCTGGAACAACAAAAAGAAGGCAAAGGGGAGGGGGAAGAGGGGAGGGAGACAAAGGCGATGGCGGCCTGTGGCGGCAGTTGAGTTTCCGCCGCATGCAAGCGCGCGCAGTCCAGTGCACGGCGCTGGATAATTACAGGCATGCTTGTTATGTCTAATGTCTCCTCTCTACCACCATCACTATCACGGGACTGGTCTATGGGATTTTGAAAACACAGCTTCTAGTCTCAATTACAATGCTACTTCAGGTGAAGGTCTGTTTTCTTGGAAGGTTGCTGAGATCCATATGACACCTTCCCAGCGTCGTCACAACGATCCAGTCACGCGATCGATGCAGTGGCGTTACGACCTGGTACCTGACAAGACCTCCAATTTGCGAATCGATTGAAGAGAGGGGGTGGGGCATCAACGTCGCCAGATGCCAGTTGGTAATTACAAGGATGGACAGGCCTGTAATTTTGCCAGTAATGCGACAACCCTGCATCCCCTTGAGTGAACTGCATTCACGTTTGACCTTATAACGCCAAGGTAATTTTGACTCAGTGGTTATTTCCCCCAAATCAGCTCGTCCCCTCCACAGTCACTTGGACAGGATCTGCTGAAGCTACGTGCGGATGGTGTAGAAGTCATTTCAGGGCTTCAGCGAATGCGAGTTGATGGCAACCTAGCCTGAACAGCCAAGATCCCTTCGGTAGTGGTACAGACGATGCACTTATTGCAGCTTTTTAAAAGGGTTGGCAGTATTTGAGGCAAGTTTTTTTCCATTACGCACTCACGTCACACCGTTTTTCGGGAATATGAAAGGGAACAGTGATGGAGGGTAGATGAGGCGGCAGGCACGTGCTGTCTCTCTCTGTGCGTGTGTGTGTGTGTGTGTATGAGAACTCGGCAATTCCGCCGACAATTTTTTTACACCACTGTCTCACTCAATTCGCAGGTGTCTCGCGCACACTTTTAAACCAGGTATTAATAGTTTAAATTTGTACAAAAAATATCAATTTTGTGAAGATCAGAAAGCCTACTCCACCAATCAGTAGGTTATTTCAAGTCGCCGTTAGTCCTTGGTTCGTTCTGACCTTGAAATTACCAGAAGAAGTTGGCTCAGTTTGCAGGATGATTGAGTAGAAGTGACAAGGTCGTTTGTCCGAACCAATGACATCTCAAATGCCATGATCCAACCTAAACCACGCAGATTCACTTTGTGTGGCTTTAGAACAAAGCTGTTAAACCTCGCCTCGTATAAATATCATTACCAGAGGTTTCCGTTTTGTCAAACTCGGAATCAAAAAAACTAGAATGAACATGTGCCCGTAGACACGACCTCGTAGGAGCCCATATGAGTTGAGTCATCGAATGAACGGTCGCATTATTCTAGCAGACCTCGCAATTGTCAAACCAACTGGTGACGGGTGAAAGAGTCTGCTGAAATAGTCCACTACCTTAGCGTTAGTCTTTCCAACGCCTTCGATGGAACATCGAGGAGGTGTGGAATAGCGACGTCCACAAGTGCTGAAGTGCTTTCAACACAGCGCATCTGGGGAAAAGAACAGACGTGGTGGTGGCAGTTTGAGGCCAGTTCAACGAAATGAGGTAGGTCGTGTCTTCGCTAGGACCCAGGTACCTCCCAATATCTCCTCCGCGAAAACACCTAGTCCTACGTCCGTCAACGTGGCCCTTTCCTTACAAAGTATAAAAAAGGCTTATGACACTGAAATTATTGTGTGCGTTTTACCAGGATGTGAATTAATACCATCCAGTTCTACATGGGATTTCGTGCGTTTATCTCCAGTGGACCTGTAATAATTAACAATAAGAGGTATGAAAACTACAAGCACATCGTTTTGTGGGTGAGAGGGGGCTGGCGTTTAACCAGACAACACCCCTGGTCAAGCACTCTCACTACAAAGCCCGACCAATTGTCATCTGTCGCACACACACCCACACCCACACGGACGCTCAAATCCACCTGCTGTGACGGACACGCCGTCTGCAGCCGGCAGGTGTCTAACTTCAAAGCTCCTCGCCGTGTCAGCATGGTTTGACGATGGGGGTGGTGGCGGTGGCGGCGGCGGCGGCGGCGTGGTTAATCACAAACACGAATTTAATTAGTATCATTTGGTCCTCTCTAAGAAGACGAGGGCTTGGTGATGTCAGGTCAGAAATGACATCCACCTTACTTGTTGGCAGGACACAATTCACGGCTAAATGCAACGTTTTTAAATCAGCGCGTAAAAGCGAACACATTTGACATATTTTGACACTGAGTCTCAAATTATCAGACATGAGGAGTTTTTCATTGGCGATTGAACAACGCAGGATGCTTGCCAGAATTGGGTTGCTCATTTTCATGCCAAAACTCGACTCATCGCGATCAGAAGGGCGTCGCTCGACACTAAAACTTATCTGTTTTGCTTACATTGATTGGCCTACTACTACACAATCCAGGGACATCTTCTCGCGTTGGTGATCGATGTTCACGAACTGTATTCTCATTGGTCCACCGGTTGACAGCTGGCAAAATCAATAATTTCACTGCTGTTCATATTCCAAGCGCGGATTATTGTACGCAGTCACCTGTGTGTGTGTGTGTGAAATAGTTACATTTTCAATAAATTGGGAATTTGAAGAAGTACAAGATACTACAAGACTGTGGGGAGAGAATATGTTCAAGCACTTAGAACAGGCGCTTCGATTAGTGGTACAAAAAAGGCTGAGGTATTAATTGCACCAACACTGCAGAAAATGTCCAGAATCGGTGATTCACATGGTCGTGTTTTGCACGAATGCAACGCTAGACCACATTCACTTTTGTTGCAGCGTGTAATGGAGCGGGGAGGGGGGAGCGGGGAAGGTGTTGTTACCTCATTCAACGCGCATTACCTTGGCCTCGCACCAACTGACATTGTCAGCTGTTTTGCCATCCCTGTGAAATGCGCACTCTTTGGTGATAAAACAACCAGTACTGAGACGGTGGAGGTATTAAATGCCTCGTGGTAATGCTTGCTACCTCTGCCTCTCCGCTTTCACATCGAAAAAGACGTATGGTTTAGCTTAAACGTAGTCCATCACCATAATCATGTCCTTAATTGTCATTCTTCAAATTTGCATTGTTTCATCTGCTGCGACGGCTTTGCATCTGATGCGAATAGCAGTAATGATCTATAATTTCCCATAACTATCTGCCAACGTTTTACAACATCTGAAGGTGCGGTGTTCGCTGCGCGACATATGGTCTAACGTTGTCATGGCGATAGATGATGCCATTTCGATTGGACGAATCTGAGAGTTTAGCTTGGATTCTAACATTGACTTGGGTGTGTCGTTCACAGTACCTCTCCGGTTAGTGCTTGATCACGTGAAAGAAGTTAGTAAAAAAATTCTCTGCAAACCGGCTTATCAGACACACAAGAGCACTTTCAGTCCTTGCTACGGATTCTGCTCTTTCACTTCTATGCCTCCAGCTTCTGCTTCTTATACACGAACAATTATCGATCTCTAGCTGTGACTTGATTCAATAAAAGTTCGATTTGATGGCGTGCGAGGCAGTGGACAGAGCTATCTTATCAAAGGTTTGTAATGGATTGTATTAACTAAATCACGGATATACTCATTATCGATGCCGGCAGGTTAATATGTTGAAGTCGACTAAACCAGACTGGCGAATCGCTCTTCTGCACCTCCTTATCACCAAATTGTGTCCACGAGCCTTAATGTTCGTGAACATCACCACACGATCGCTCTTTCATCGATCGATAAATCGTGTATATCTGAGTGAGAAACTTCGTTGGTTTCAGGAAAAAAATCTGCTTGACAGCAAGCCGCATTCACCGTTTGGAATTCTCAGATTCATGCGAAGATGCTACATTGCCTAGAAGTGGAAAATCTGATTTTGAGTCATAAGACAGGCTTCATGAGTACTTGGCATCTCTCAACGAGACTGCACAGTACCACGTTGTGCAGGAGACATCGTAACGCCTCTTTTTCACTCTTCATTACATCAATAACCACAAGTTCCGGGTAGAATCCAAGCTGTTGGGTTGGTTTGAATTAGTGTTGAAAACATCGCAACGAGATATTGAGTGGCAACAGCCTTGGGCATCGTTGCAATTCAACTGACGGTCTCCAAACGCCATAATTCGAAGGTGTGGATTGACGAGGGAGGATATGGTACACACAAACCATCAACTACTAACGACTGCATTCGCAGAACTCGTGTGTGTGTGTGTGTGGGATTCTACTTAGCTGGAAGGCGTTTAAGTTTGAACACTGAAAAAGCCGTCTGATCGTTGATTCACGTTAGTATAATTAGTATCCCACTCGGGCTACAACATTTTTCAAGGGTTTGCTGAAACGGAGTGCTCTAAGATGCCAGATGTTTGGACGCAGACAAATTTTTGTCTGTGTTTACCAGCCAGCGTTCCATTTTGCCAAAAAAGGGGCCTAAAGATAGGGACGAGGATGGGTGAGTGTTGGGGCAGGGGGGGATGGGGAGAGGGGAGGGGGAATTTGGCTGATCCCTTTTCTTTCGTTCGCTCGCTCCCTCGCAAAATATGATAAACAACCTAACAAATGATTCACGTCTGCCTCCTAAATAACCCAGTCTCCAAATTGGGCGAACACATCCTACCCAGATAATGTAAACTTTCTCACGAACGCCAATTTCGACGCTCTGAGCAAATTAACGCACAGAAACCCACTAGACCACCGTACTCCTAGAAATGTACTAATTGTTCATATTTTTTGTCATTCCGCGACAGAAGAACACGTTTAAACAAGTCGATGGAGGTCTCTACGGTTAGAAGAGGCACGCGCTCACCTTGTTGCTACCCGTGTGTGCGGCGTCGGCATAAATTATCACTTGCTGTGGGCCATGAGCACAGAGGTCAACTCTCTCAGCAACTTGAAGTGGAAAATGCCACGCGCCCGCAAGGTGAAATGGTCAAGGTTGTGAAGACGGAGACAGGCCTGTGTAGAATTTGGTGGAAAAATAGGCCTGGGAAATGTCGGTTCATTCAAACAACGCGGCGCGCGGATTTCAACACCTGAGGGTTGAAGTTTGTCTGGAAGTTAGGACGGTGACTTAGTCTCCTTTATCGACTCCGAAAGACGTCTGGTTAACGCTAAGAATGAACTAGGTTATGATTTGCATGTTAGACATTGGAATTTATGTATGCGCAGAAGCAGCGAGGGATGCTGTGTCAACAATTCTAGCAACCCAGTTAATGCTGAAAACTTTGCCTTCGGGGCAATAATGAGAAGGTCGAGTGAGAATTGAAAATGTTATTATGAAGGCCGCAAATCCTCAACAACCGGACAAAATGGCTTAGTCAGTCTGGGGGCCAGATTCGAGTCCCTTGGTACCGTCAGTTTCACTGTAAATAACACTCCATCCTGCATGCCAATTCCTAAGTGATTCCAAGTCGTCAATTTCAAACGTCCGTCGGTTCGATAAGGGATTGCAACCAGAAC